GAGACAAATGTTTTTAAGAAACATGTTGTTGAGTGGGAAAGAGGAATAAAAAGACAAAGAAAGGATACACTTTCTATATCTGAAAGTATTTCTTTGTTAACTAATATTATCTTTGAAAGAGAAATTTTAGGAAATGATCCATCTATTATTTCATTTTCTAAGCTTAAATCTGTTGCTGAAGGCAAAAACAATCAATTAAACTTTTTATTTGATAAAATCGAAGTGATGGCTTGCTTAAGAAGAAAAAGTGATGCAGAACAAAAAACACTTAATCAGTCTTTAGCATATTAATGTTATTTGATGTGCTAGAACCAAAACATGATTATACCGTTTTGAAATTTAAAAGATGAAGTAGCAGATAGTAATAACAATCTTACGTAGGTAGGTAGCATTAATATCCTAACAAAGTTTCTATACAATCAAGAAAAGAATGAAGAAGAATCAACAATTTACAATTTCAAACAAATGTACAGAGAGATGGTATCTAAGGATTTTAGGCTAAGCAGTTTCTTTGATTCAATTTATAATACATCTTTTCCTAAAAATAGAAGTAATAAAAAATTAGATAAATTAGATAAAAAATTGGCAATTGAGTGTTATATTATTTGTGACAACCAAAATTCTAAACCAACCACATTTAAAAAAGATATGTCTCTTTTTGTAGATTTGATGGGAGTTTCTGCAGAAGCTATAGATACTTTATCACATGCTGATATAACAATTTTACAAAGGCATCTAAATAAGAAAAAGACAGCCATTGCAGATAATCATCCACATCGAGTTGTTTCATATCTGGAAATTAAAAAAAACAATGTGTTAGTTCTTAATATCAATGATTACCATAATATTCATACCAAACAAATTCCAGATACCTGTTCAACATCAAGTGCAGCGCATATAACAACCTTGTTGTTAAATGGTGTTGATTCAAATGCCATTCCATGGATCGTACCAAACGGTATATCAGTTCACAATCCAAATTTAATCGATTCTAACCTTATTTGCAATTTTTTAGACACCTACTATATGAAATGAATGTCTAAAACATTTAATGATCGGTTTTATCATAAGATGTCTTTAAACAGGAAACTTGAAAATATGACTCTTCACAAATATGATTCTCATATACAAGAGCAGCAGAAAGAGTGCAAAATAAAAGATATGATTCTCTTGGATTTTTTTGAACTTAATCTTAAAGAAATGGATTCATATATTTATGCTTTACAAGAAGTTTATAAAATTCCTTTATTAACTAATTACTTAACTAACTATGTTATTCCAATTGTAGCTGATTGGCCCAAGCAAGTATATATATGATAAGCAATTACTCTTTGTTTATTAAACCATAAAGATGATATACCAGATGGCATATTATCTTTTGTACCAATTATTGGTGTCCTTCATATTTAGTTAAATCTACTTAAGTCAATACTAAAGACTTATTGGGACTTTTTTAATATGGAGTACTAATATATCTTTAGTACAAGTAAAGCCCTTAGCAAGATGCCAAGCCCATATCGAACATATGTACTTCTTGAGCTAGTAAGAAATACTTGGAAGAAAATCAAGCCAATAGTAACAGATAAGTTTGAAAAATATTGTAAAGATGTTGAATTCTTATTTCTATTTGAATTATTAGACAATACAGTGTTGGTCGGATTAGATATATATTTAACTTTATTTCAGTCTGGAGATTGGGAATCATATATTGAAGGTGTATTTTGGGTGTGGTGCATTTTTTTACGATTTGAAAGGTGTAATTATAATAAAGCGTCTTTAGCTTTTCTTTCTGATATATTTTATTAGTGTCAAAACAATCATTCTATATTAAGTGTATTAGAAAATTATTTAGTTAAATTTATAGATTATCCTATTGAGAATATGCATAACATAATATGACAACAGAGCTCTTTTACCAATACTTCACAACAGCTTTCCAAGATTGCCAAAGTCATTAGTGCCAGAAAGTCTATTGCATTTGAAGATGCATTTGTAGATCATAAAAAGTCTACATATGCGGATAAAGATAATTTGATTTTACTAACAAAAAAGGCACAAGTGTTTCTTCTGGAAATTTTTGGTAATGTTTATCAAAGATTAGATCAAAGTTCTATCATTGAAGGCTGAAAAGAAAAAATTACTTACAAACTAGCATTATTGGATCTTGTTGTAGACAATAAGCAAATGCTATTAGGGTTCAGCAGTGAGCATTTGCTATCATATGACAAATGTGATCATTGTCATAGATTACTATACAACAGAACAAGTAAAAGTTCTATAGTTATTGCATGCAGTCATGAATACCATGAGAGCTGTTTTACTATATTAAATGGAAAATATCACTATTGTGAAAGTATTCTCAAATTAGATATAAAAAATAATGTCACTTCTTTATTTTCATGTTTAAGTAAATTAGATAAATCAAAGTCGAATCTTGAAGAGATTGTTGAAGCCGATGAAGATAGTCCACAAGATCAGAGAATAGAAAATGAAAATGATATATTAGAAGTAGTTCAGAAACATAAGCAAGTATTGTCAAGGATGGAGCAAGCTTATTCTGCAGCTCTTGAAAAATTTTTGAATACTAATATTGTGAATATTTGCATCAATATTTCTTCAATATAATTTTATTAATTAAAATACTGGTTAATAATTGAAATAAATTATATATTTTTTTTAAAAAAATAAATAAATCAATACAATATATAAAATTATATAATTATTAGATTATTTTTTGCTGTTAATTAATTAATTATTCATTACTGTTACAAAAATAAATTAATTATTATTATTATTATTTTTTTTGTGATTATCGTATTTCATATAACTATTATTCTTTCAAATATTAAAAGAAATCCATTCGATTACATTTTGAAGTTTTTTAATACAATCATCAACCTTCTTGTTTCTGCTTGTCTATTTTTAAATTATTTTTTGAAAGTCACACATTTGACACCATGTTTCGGAAATGTTATATTAAGTTAGAATGTGCATATTTTCAACTATAATTTTTTTTAGAACTCAGTTCCTTATATTCACATTTGTTGTAGTATTTTGAATTAATTATATATCTTAAGATCACTATTCTTTAATTGTACATAATCTGTAAACTTATTAAGCAAACTAAAAATTAGAATAAAGCTGCTTTGTTTTAAATATTAGTAACTTGCTAATGCAATCATGCTTATGAATATAGATGACAGCGGTAATGTAAGAACATTGTTGTGATTTACTGTATAAAGAAGTAAGTCTAAAAGTGAAAGTCTATATATAAGCAAAAAAATATGTATAACTTATAAAAATCTCGTATTTTTATTGGATGAAATTGGTTTTGAGTCAGCTCTGAGTCACAATTTCTAATTTAGAAGGCTTGTATAATGAAAATTGTCCATTCTGCTGAGGGATCTCCAAAATTCTGGGTCAGAATACCTCAGATTTAGCCTAGCATTTAGTTAGCATTTAGTAATACAAGTTAACCATTTTGGGCCAAAATTATCAGCTAGGCAGCTTTACTTAATGAGTGAGCTATGGTTTCATTAGTAAAACTTTTAGTAATCTTGGGCAAAATTAGTTAATTCGGTCCTGCCAATCATGATTCCGATGTATTCCGACTCAGAATTTTGGAGATCCTCCTGTATGAGTTGAAAATATATGCTTGTCACCGGCAGTGACTGTTCCAAATATGTGATCGACCAATTAAATTGTGTAATATAAAAATCAAAACAACAGCAATATGTTAGGGATAGAGACATGATTAGGGTTTGGATAAAGCATAGTATATAGTAAAATTGTATAAGGAATTTTTTTGTTAGAACACAAAAAGTAGGGTTATTGTAATTTTTTGAAAAATTGTAATTTTTTTTTATTAGATTTTGCATTATTATTAACAAATAGATCAAATAGATTTATTTAATAAAATATTTAAAAAAAATAATTGTGGCAGCTTATGCTGAAATTGGCTAATGCTGAGATGCACATAATTATTGTTAATCTTCATGCATCTACAAATAGAGGTGCATCAAAATGACTATCAAATTGATGATCAAGTGAGATGATGTAGTATGAGAACCTACTAGAAAGATCACATTCAAAAAAAAATATTACTTTCTTATTCCTCCTGATCTCTTCTTATAGAACAGTAATTTAAATGTGAACTATACTTTGAATTGGCTTTAAAAAAAAGAAAAAAGTTAGTGTCTAAATTAATGTGAATATTGTACTTAGCATATTTATCATACTTACAAAAAGGATCTCAAAGATGACTGAAAAGTAGTGCTTTAAAAAGAAAAAAAAAGGTAGTATCTTATATCTGTAATTTTGAACGTAAGTACTGTACTTATCAGTAAGTGGCTTTTTAAAAAGTTAGTAATTTGAATGCGAATATTGTACTTACTGTATGTACTTACTATATTTACAAAAAGAACCTCAAATGTGACCAGAAATTTGGTATTATTTTTCTAAAAAAAAAATTGTTATCTTCTATCTAGTAATTGAATGTGAATACTGTACTTACTATACTACAAATAGGACCTCAAATTGTGACCAGGAAATGGCTATTTTTTTTTTCTTAAAAAAAAAAGGTATCTTCTGCTTAGTAATAGTTTGAATGCGAATACTGTACTTATTATACTTGCTATACTTACAAAAGGAACCTTGAATGTGACTAGTAAATGACTTTTTTTTTTTTTAAAACAAAAAAGAAAAATTAGTATCTTATATCCAGTAATTTGAAAACGAATATTGTACTTACTGTACTTACCATATTTACAAAAGGAACCTCGAATGTGACCGAAAGTTGAATTTTAAAAAAAAGTTAGCAACTTTTTTTTCTATCTAATAATTTGAATGTAAATATTGTACTTATCATGCTTACTATACTTACAAAAGGGACCTCAAATGTGACCAGTAAATGGCATCTTTTTTTTTTTAAACAAAAAAAAAAAGTTAGTATCTTCTATTCAGTATTTTGAATGTGAATATTGTACTTACTGTACTTATCATATTTACAAAAGGGAAGTTTGGTTTTAAAAAAAAGTTAGCATCTTTCTTCTATTCAATAATTTGAATGCAAATACTGTACTTAATATACTCATTATATTTACAAAAAGAATCTTGAATGTGACCAGAAAATGGTTATTTTTTTTTTTTAAAAAAAAAAAGTTAGTATCTTATATCCAGTAATTGAATGCGAATATTGTACTTACTATACTTACCATATTTACAAAAGGAACCTTGAATATGACCATAATTTTTTTTTTTTTTTTTAAAAAAAAAAGGTAGTATCTTTTATTTATCCAATAATGTGAACACAAATACTGTACTTATCATACTCACTATACTTGCAAAAGGGGCTTAGAATGTAACCAGGAAATGGCTTCTTTTTTTTTTTTTTTAAAAAAAAGTTAGTATCTTATATCCAGTAATTTGAATGTGAATATTGTACTTACTGTACTTCCCATATTTACAAAAGGGACCTCAAATGTAACTAGGATTTTTTTTTTTTTTTAACAAAAAAAAAGGTAATATCTTCTGCCCAGTAATAGTTTGAATACAAATACTGTACTTACCATACTCACTATACTTACAAAAGGGACCTTGAATGTGACTGGAAAATGGTTATTTTTTTTTTTTTTTTAAAAAAAAAAAAAAAGTTAGTATCTTATATCCAGTAATTGAACATAAATATTGTACTTACTGTACTTACCATATTTACAAAAGGGACCTTGAATGTGATTAAGATTTTTTTTTTTTTTAATAAAAAAAAAGATAATATCTTCTGTCCAATAATAGTTTGAATGCGAATACTGTACTTATCATACTCACTTTACTTACAAAAGGAACCTCGAATGTGACCAGGAAATGGCTATTTTTTTTTTTTTAAAAAAAAGGTAGTATCTTATATCCAGTAATTTGAATGTGAATATTGTACTTACTGTACTTACTATATTTACAAAAGAGATCTCGAATGTGACTGTGTTTTTTTTTTTTAAAAAAAAAAAAAAGGTAATATCTTTCTTCTATCCAATAATTTGAATGCAAATATTGTACTTATCATACTCATTATACTTACAAAAGAGACTTCGAATGTAACCAGGAAATGGTTTTTTTTTTTTTTTTAAAAAAAAAAGTTAGTATCTTATATCCAGTAATTTGAACACAAATATTGTACTTACTGTACTTATCATATTTACAAAAGGGACCTTGAATCTAACTGGGATTTTTTTTTTTAACAAAAAAAAAAGTAATATCTTCTGCCCAATAATAGTTTGAATGCGAATACTGTACTTACCATACTCACTTTACTTACAAAAGGGACCTCAAATGTGACTAGGAAATGGCTATTTTTTTTTTTTTAAAAAAAAAAGTTAGTATCTTATATCCAGTAATTGAACACAAATATTATACTTACAGTATTTACTATATTTACAAAAGGAATCTCGAATATGACCATGATTTTTTTTTTTTTTTTAAAAAAAAAAAGGTAGTATCTTTCTTCTATCCAATAATTTGAATGCAAATATTGTACTTATCATACTTACTATACTTACAAAAGGGGCTTCAAATGTGACTAGGAAATGGCTTTTTTTTTTTTTTAAAAAAAAAAGAAGAAAAAGTTAGTATCTTATATCTAGTAATTTGAATGCGAATATTGTACTTACTGTACTTACCATATTTACAAAAGGGACCTTGAATGTGACTGGAAGTTGGGTTTTAAAAAAAAGTTAGTATCTTTCTTCTATCTAATAATTTGAATGCAAATACTGTACTTACCATACTCACTATACTTACAAAAGAAACCTTGAATGTGACCAGAAGTTGGATTTTAAAAAAAAGTTAGTATCTTTCTTCTATTCAATAATTTGAATGCAAATATTGTTTTTACTATACTCACTATATTTACAAAAGGGATCTTGAATTTGACCAGAAAATGGCTTATTTTTTTTTAAAAAAAAAGCTAGTATTTTCTATTCAATAATTTACTATACTTACTATATTTACAAAAAGGACCTCGAATATGACTGAGAATTGGGAGATTTTTTTTTTAAAAAAAAAGTTAGTATTTTCTATCCAGTAATTTGAATACGAATACTGTATTTACTATACTTACTGTATTTACAAAAAAGATCTCAATTGTGACCAGGAAGTGGCTTTAACAAAAAAAAGTTAGTATCCTTTATTTTATTTTGTAATTTTAGTATACAGGACATTTAATTGACCTTTAATGCAGTGTATAAAAAAAGGTATTTCAGTTTAAACTTTAGTTCCATAAATTTTTTGTATATAACAAAATAAGTCAAGTTACTAAAGTATTTTAAATTCTAGATTAAAAAAAAAACTTTTTGTTATACATAAATATTATTTTTTAGTCATTTTTATAGTTATATACTTTAGCATTTTTATATATATAAAAAAAAAAATCAAATTTAAATTTTAATCAAAAATTTATTGTAAATTCTATTTTATTAAAAAATAAAATCTTAAAATTTTAAAATCAAAAATTTAAAATCTATTGAAAAAAATAAAATCTTAAATTTAAATTTTTCAAAAAACAAAAAAATTTAAAATTTAAATCTTTCAAAAAAAATTTTTTAAAAAAGTCAAAAAAAAAAGTAAAAATTTTAAAAAATTTTAACTATCAGATAACTTTAACCTGCATAATTGAAACCGACACATCCTTCTCTTCAATTTCGACAATTGCATTATAATTATTCATGGCTAGTTACTTAAAAATGCCCTGCTAAGAGAATACAGTCTGTAATTTTTGCTTACAAATTTGTGAATTTGTGTCATGATCTGGTGCAACTACAACTGTTGTTTTAGGTTTGATTGTATTGTTTTTTGTTTTTTTTTGATAAATGCTTCTGTATAGACATAATTTCTTGCAGTATTTTTCTAGTTTATTGTTCACTAATTGTTGAACTTGAAATATTTGTTCTATGCATTGTTTCACATTATTTTTTAAATTTTCATCATTAACATTGGCATTATCTAATAAAATTGGTTCACTTGATTGGTTAACGTCTGGCACTTCATAAACACTATGCATTCTCCATCTAAACATTATTTTGTGAGATATACAGTCATGTGATTTATAAACAGTAGAGTTATATGAAATAATAAAAGTATCTAAAATATTAATCCAGTCTTTTTTTTGCATTTTATTATTATTATTCCATAATAGTTTTGTAAAACCACGACCAACAGTTTGGTTGAGACATTCAACCTAACCTTGAGATTGTGGGTGGCAGGAGTGTCTGTACTTAATTTTTATTTTAAGAATTTCACAAATTTGCATGATAATATTAGCTACAAATTCTTTACCATTATCACTTTAAAGAATAACTAGAGGCTCAAAAATTTTAAAAACATTTTGAACCAGATACATTGCAACAGTATTAGCCTCTTTATTCTTTATAGAAATAGTGATAAGATATTTAGAAAATGTATATACACATGTTAGCAACCATGAATATCCGTAATTTACTTTAGCATAGTCTTGAAAATCAATAAGATTTATCTGAATATGTTGCCATGGTGCTATTGACACAACTGGTTTCATATTTGTTTTTTTTTTAATAGATATATTAACAGCACAGATGGGGCACTTATTAACATACTCTTGCACATCTGATTGTACAATACCAATATGCTTTACAGAAAGTGCAGAGTATGAACTATGGTAATTATGATGATTAGCATTATCATGAAAGTGCTCTAATAATAAAGTACATAACTCTATATCATATCTGGGTACAACACGATTCCTTTCATACTTATTTATACCATCTTTAAAAACTACAGAAACATAAAGAATTTTACTATCAACCTCAAATTTTTTGCTACATCTCTCAAAATTATATTGCACTGTGGAACCTTAAATATACAGGAGAATAACTTTGGACTGAAGGTACGCAATGATAGCTTGATATTCGATTAGCATTTTAGAAATTTTTGGAATTGTGGGCATGATTAACTAGTGAAAAAAGAGTGTAAACAAATTATTTATATGATCAACAGATCACAATTTGTGTAACAATGCTATATATTTTATAAGCAATAAAAAATAGAACCTAAAAACAAATAGTCTAAGTAAGGTATTCGCATTCAAGTTACTGAATTGAGAAGATACTAACTTTTTTTTTTCTTTTAAAATGCATTCAAATTACTAAAAAGAAGATACTATCTTTTTTTTTAAGCATTATCTGGCTCCTTTTGTAAGTATAGTAAGTACAGTATTCATATTCAATTGCTAGATAGTAGATACTGCCTTTTTTTAAAGCCACTTTCCAGTCACAATTCAAGGTTTCCTTTTGTAAGTATAGTAAGTACAGTATTTACATTCAAACTACTAGGCAGAAGACAATACTTTTTTTTTTAAAAAAAACCTTTCTCGAGGTTCCTTTTGTAAGTATATCGAGTTCCTAATATAAGTATAGTAAGTATAGTATTTATATTCAAATTACTGGGCAGAAGATACTAACTTTTTTTTTTTAAAAAAAAGCCACTTCACAGTTATATTCGATTCTTTTTTGTAATATGGTAAATACAATAAGAGAGTATTCGTGTTCAAATTACTAGATAGAAGATATCAACTTTTTTTTTTTTGCTATTTAAAGCCACTTTTCTGGTCACAATTCGAGGTCTCCTTTTATAAATATGATAAATACAATATTTATATTCAAATTACTGGACAAAAGATACTATTTTTTTTTTTTTTTTTAAAAAAAAAAAAGTCACTTCACAGCAATATAGCAAGTACAATAAGTAGAGTATTCGCATTTAAATTACTAGATAGAAGATACTAACTTTTTTTTTTGCTATTTAAGCTACTTCCTGGTTACAATTTGAGGTTCTTTTGTAAATATAATAAGTACAGTAAGTACAATATTTATATTCAAATTACTGAGCAGAAAATACTATCTTTCTTTTTTTTTAAGCCTTTCTGATCACAATTCGAGGTCCTTTTTGTAAGTATGTCGAGTTCCTGATGCAAGTATAGTAAGGTATTTGCATTCAAATTATTGGAAAAAAGATACCAATTCTTTTTTTTTTTAAAAAAAAAAGTCACTTTACAGTCATATTCAATATCTCTTTTGTAAATATGGCAAGTGCAGTAAGTAGAATATTCATGTTTAAATTACTAGATAAAAGATACTAACTTTTTTTTTTGCTGTTTAAAGCCACTTCTCAGACACAATTCAAGGTCCCTTTTGTAAGTATGGTAAGTACAGTAAGTACAGTATTCGCATTTAAATTACTAGGCAAAAGATACCAACTTTTTTTTTTTTTTAAAAAAAAAAAAAAAAGCCACTTCATGGTCATATTTAAAGGTTTTTTTTGTAAATATGATAGGTACAGTAAGTACAGTATTCTTATTTAAATTACTGAATAGAAAATACCAACATTTTGTTTAAAGTCATTTTCTGGTCACAATTCAAGGTTTCTTTTGTAAATATGGTAAGTACAGTATTTATGTTCAAATTACTGAATAGAAAATACTTTTTTTTTTAAAAAAAAAAAATAACCATTTCTTGGTTACATTTGAAGTCGTTTTTGTAAATATGACAAGTATTCAAATTACAGCCAAAAAATACTTTTTTATTTTTCTTGTTTTCTATCTTTTTTTAGGCATTATTTCTAGTTAGCCATAGTTCAAGGCCCTTTTTGTAAACATGATTAGCACAGTCTTTGCATTAAATTATGACTAAGATTTTTTTTTTAAGCACCATTTTTTGTGTACCAACGTTCTAGTTCAAGATCCCTATATAATTTTAGTAAGGACAGTAAATATATTCTGTATTTTTTTAAAGTTTTGAAGAAAACTAGCTTTTTTTTATGCTCACTTCCTCAGTTACACTTAAGATCTCTATATAATTGTTATTAAAAGTGAATTTCTTTAAAGCATATAATTTGTGAGCAAAAGTCAGCCTTTACACTTCATGTTTTTGATATACTTTCGTGCAATTACCATTACGAAAAGGTCTTCACTTTCATAGTTTTTTTTTAAACACAACGTCCCTGATTATATTTATATTCCTTGTTGCAACAGTGTTTACTAATTTTTTTTTCTCTCTAAAATTGCAGTTTTTATAATTGCTTTTTTAGAGAGAAAAAAAGGTAGCACTAATACTGTATTAACTTCAATAGTCAAGCAATTTTCATTATAATCAGTTCATGTAAAAATCATGTGTTACATCATCTCAATTGATCATCAATTTGATAGTCATTTTGACACACCCCTATTTGGGGATGCATGAAGATCAACAATAATCATGTGCACCTTAGCATTAGCCAATTTTAGCATAAGCTGTCACAATCCATAAAGTAATTTAAAAGTTAGATGTACACTCCTCTGACAATAATCACCAGAATTTTGAAAATTATATATGATCAACAGCAATGACTTACTGTAAAAAAAAATTTTTTGTGCAACCAAATTCTGACAAATAGCAACAATTTTTTTTTTACAGTTTCAATAGAAGTTGTCAGTTCAATTATATTTTTTTATTTTTTTTTCACAGTTTTTTTTTTTTTTTGTTATAAAACAAAGGAAAGAACTTACTAAAGAACAATGTAACCAAATTGTTGATGCTTGACACAGTGGTATGAAGCCAGCAAAGATCGTAAGAGTCCTAAAATTTCTCAAGAGCACCATCTATAATATTGTTAATTATTATAAGAAGAATGGAGGCATCAAACCTTTTCCTTGTCCAGAGATGCCTTCTAAAATAACTGAACATGGTACCTGTCATCTTGTACATCTTTTGAAGTAAGATAAAAAAGCTAGTTTGAATGTTTTGACCAATAAATTTATCCAATCAATATCTATTAAAGTGTCTACATATATCGTTCAATATTATCTTCATGAAAAAAGATTTTTTGGTTAGATTGGAAAGAGAAAACTATTTGTGAATGAACTCTCCTGTGTGGGTCAGTTAGAGTAGGCTAAAAACAGAGAACATTAGAATAAAAGGTGGAAAAATGTTGTCTAGAGTGATGAATCACAGTTTGAAATATTTGAAGGAGATGGTTGAATGTATGCTTGGAAGAAACCAAAGGAAAAATATAATATAGATTGTTTAGTTCTGATATTTAAATCAGGAAGAAGAGACATAATAGTATGGAACTGTTTTAGTATATACGGTCCTGAACCATTGATTCAGGTTTTTGGTAAGATAAATGTAAAGAACTATACTGAGGTCCTTCATGATTGTTTATTACCTTATTTAGAAAGTCTTAAAAACATTGTTGGAAAAAAAAACCATTTTTTTCAAGATGATAATGCAAGAATTCACTCTGCAACATTTATCAAAAATTGGTTAGAAGAAAATTGTATTAACATGCTTCTCTGTCTGTCATACAGCCCAGATCTCAACCCTATCGAACATATCTGGGATGAATTAGAACATCGTATCTGTAAGCATATTCCTCTGCTAGGCAGTAAGTCAGAACTATTCTGTTTGCTTCAGAATGAATGATTTAATTTAGATGATTCAATTTTTAGAACTCTTGTTGTAAGTATGCCTTGTCATGTTCATGCTGTAATTGAAGCCAATGGCTATCCTACATGTTATTAATTTTTGTAAATAAAAACTTGTTTACATAACTATTAAATAAAAAAAAATTGACCCAATTTGATAAATGGGTTGTTAAGAAATTGCAGTCATAAAAACTTGTAAAAAAAATAATCATCATACAGTAACTAATAAATTCCGGTGATCACTGTCAGGGGAATGTACATTAGAGTTAAACTATAGATACAAAAAAGTCATTAAAGTTGGCAATTTAAGTTGTTCTATTGTTTTATTTGTGAACCTTATTTTTCATACCACAACTAATAAAGAAATCTAGACTAATAACGGGTAATATAAAGTTGAAAGTCATGTATAAGGCTTATAGAATTCATGAGAAGAGTTGAAACGAAGTTGTGCATTGTAACTATATAAAGATTAAGATCAGTTTGAACTTGAAACAAGTACTGAATGTTTATTTGAGTTATTTCTTTATTATTTATTTCATGTATTTTTGCATTTGGTTTATTCTTTTTGTATTTGGTTTTTTTTTCTTTTTTTTTATTCGTGTATATTGGAATTTTTTCTTTAATAAAATTTTGACAGTTTTAGGTTTAAAATTATCGATGTTTAATGGTAAAAACTTCTGCCGGTATTAATTTCGTCACATAAATAATGATTTTATACGTAGAAGCTTCTTTATTCGTAAACGATTAGTTAAAGTTTAAAATTTCGAATAGCTAAAGTATTATTGTTCCACGGGTGATCTACAATCACAGCTATGCTTGTATGAGTTATTTTTATATGATTCAAAATTTTATATGTATAAAGAATGTATTTATAGAGAGTACACTTAGGAAGGTTCAAATGGTTGCCAGAATATCTTTGATCAAAGTTTTAAAGAAGTTTTAAAATGTCTATTATATAAAGAAGTTGTGCCAAAACCTTTATTATAAATTTAATCAAAGATATTTCAGCAACCAAAGCTATTTTATTCTTATTTTTTTTCTAAACAGGATGCCCTAAGGCACTTTTTAAGTAAAGTTATTTAAAAGATTAAAATAATAATTTCTAAAATTTAATATGAATTAAATGACTTTTCATTAATATATTTTTATTTTTTATGTCTAACAAATATTGAGAACCGATCTTAAAATTTATTTAAAGTATAACATAGGTTTGGAATAATTATATAAAAAATTCTGGTTCTTAGGTTCTTAATTGGGACCTAAAAGTTTTATAACCTAAACCAATCCTAAACTGACTTTATCATCCCTAAGTACAGATCATGCAACTTTCTTTCTTTTGCTGCTTTCAGATCTATTATCAAAAGGATTTATTTTAACTTAAATCTTCCAATAAATCAAGAAATTATAACAAAAAGCTTACATCGTCTCTAGCCCACGTTTACTTCCTTTTTTAGCATCATCTAAGAACTGATTAAACCCAAATGGATCTGCTTCTTCTTTTTCAAATTCCACAGGTCCATCTCTTGACTGATTATTGCAAACAAAAACATTAAACTTTGAATAATAATAACACAAAAATGAAAATGCTGATATTACGAACCTGGCTTTTATCAGCTCCTTGGAAACCTTTTGAAGCAATCCCAAATCTATCAACACTTAGCATTCTGTTAATACTTTCTTCATCTCCACCACCATATTGATCGGTATCATAATTTTTTTTAGGATTATATATACTTGTGGAACTTGAACTAGCAAAAAGTGGTTTATCATACAGATCATAAACTAAAGAAAAAAGAAATGTGAAACGTTCAGCTATAATTATCAATTATCTGATCGATATATAGCAATGTCATAAAATATATTACACTTACCTTCATCATCCTTAAATCCTGATGAAAGACCTTCTGATTGATTGAATAATCGAGAATCATAGAGACTATCTTTACTAAGTGTGGGTTTTGCAAGACCCAAAGCGATCTTTTCGGAAATATCTCTGTTTTGCTCACTACAAATTTTAAATAAACTTTAGTCATAAGTAGTTTATATATATTATTATTATTACGAAATAAAATAACCAACCGAGCGAGATATTTTGCTCTTTGTTCTGCTCCCATTCGAGATAATCTATATTCTTTTTCTCGTTCTTTCCGCCTTTCCTGTCTTATATCTTCTCTCTCTCGAATCTTTTTCTCCTCTGTCTCAGACTCTGAATCGGATTCCGATGCGTTTAAAGTCGTCGAGGAAATACCAGCTCTGACGGTTGTAACGAAGATTATAGTTAATACAATATTTACGAAACTTATATTTATTTGATGGGCAACCTAGTTACCTTTCTTCTCTGGCTTTTTGTGCTAGCATACGCAGGCGCCTTTCTTTCTCTTCTTTTTCTTTCTGAGCAAGTTTCTCTCGCATCAAAGCACGCTGTCGAACTTCTTCACGAGCATGCCTGTCAGCTGTGAAAAGTGCTTCAGATAATTTTGCAAAATTATCATTTATAGTGACCTATTTATTAATTTAAAAATAAAACGTAAGAACTATTAAAGAGATAACAAATTGCAAATGATAAACTTATTTTAGTAAAATTACTTCTTGTAAGCCGCGTCCATCTGCGGCTAAACGTTTATCAAGTGGAATGGTGTATCCTTTTGCGTTCTTCCAATTGGATATACATGGAGGAATTACCCATTCTTGTTGTTCCTTAGCCGATACTTTACGGGGAGGAGAATGTAATACAGGTGCTGGTGGTGACGGTGGGCCTGATGTTTAAAGGAAAATGAATTGTCAGAACACAAATATTAAGACGTTCATTCACAAGATATTCAAAGACTCTTACTTACCACGCGGAATTTTTTTGTGTTTGAATTTTGGTGGTTCCATTGGATCAACAGGCATTTCTACCATTCTAATAATTCTTTGTGTTGCACCTGAATTATAAGCTTCGCCTTGTTGTCCAGGAGTGTACCGTATATATGTTGGTTCTAATGGTTTGTCATTTTTAACATTTTTTGGCTGTGCTGCCTTAATTTTTCCTTAGAATAAAAAAAAAGATCAGTAATCAACATATATGTTAAACAATGAAAGAAATGATTAAATACCTTGTACTATCTTTTCCAATGCTTCTCTCGTCTTTTCGGTTGTTTCTTTTACCTCCTCTTCACTAGGCCTATCCAAAGTTATTTGTTCAATGTCAGATCTTTGATTAACTGGAACCAAATCTTTGAATTGTGAATGAACAATTCGAGATTCGGTATGACCTTGTCTTGCAATAGCATCATATCTAATGTTGCCTTCTGCGTCAACTTGTAACGGAAGGGCTCCGCCACTTGTGCCCTAAGATCATATTAAACTGGTTTTAAATTTATGAAAGACAGTCTTTTCTTATGCGATCTGAATACTTACCGTTTTGTTGCGGCCCATCTCTAATGGATATTGGGCTATATGAAGTTCAGGAAACGCACCACCGTCTCCAAAGTCCTCCAAACCTCTTGGTTTCCATCCTACCCGTTTACCGTATGGAGGAGGTAGTTCTTTTTGTTTTGTAACCGTGAGTTCATCAAATTTGCGTTCAAATTGATTCTGTTGTTCTGAATTTAATAATTGACGTCTTGGTTTTGGAAGAACACTGAAAATGAAAGTTAAAGTGATCTGTTAGCTACAAAATAAAATTCTTTAGGATCTAGAAATGTATAAATCTAATTACCCTGCTAGCGTGGCCATTATTGAATTTGAATTATACTAAGATAACTAATCAATGAATAAAATCGCGGTTTAAATATAGGAGTAGTTTTTTTTATAAATCAGATCAAATGATATATTTATCACGTTTAATTTTAACTGATTCCTAATTCTGCTAACCTTAACCATAGTGCTGGCCATGCTGTGTCGTTAAGGTTAGTGCTGGTCATTTGCTGTGTCGATAAACTCTGATTGGAAATCCGGCTTATTATAAATGATACGTATATAATAAATATAATCAAACGATTTATCCTTAGTTTTCAGAATCACTTTCAGACTTTACTAATAGTCGATTGAAACGGGACAACGGGTGCGACAATTTAACCGTTTAGAATATTACAAGTTTTTGCTCACACTACTTAACAAAGAAAGATAAAACATGTCAACTGAAGCGCGTCGTCGGCTCATGCGTGATTTTAAGCGCCTTCAAAATGACCCACCGGGTGGTATCTCTGGCGCACCTTGTCCTGATAATATTTTATTATGGAATGCAGTCATCTTTGGTCCTGGTACGTTACTTTTGAACTTAAAAATTTTATTTGTTTCAGATTTATTTTTTGAGATCAGCGATCGGTTCGTAAGCATTTATGTAATGGTGCCACAATTGTTACTTTTTTTTTTTTTATCTCAACTATGTCTGTACTTAGTTCGTTTAAAGAAGTTTATTAGTTATATGTAGCAAGCATATCACGAAAAAGTGATTATTTCAGTTTAGTTGACTACATCAAAAGATACATTAAGATCTATGGATCATTGTATAGATAATTTTAAAAATATCCTCGAAAAATTAATTAATTTATTATTAATATTAATACGTTGAACACCTTACAATTATAGCTGACACTCCGTTTGAAGATGGGACTTTTAAATTGGCTCTACAATTTGACGAAAATTATCCCAACAAACCACCATCTGTCAAGTTCATTTCCAAAATGTTTCATCCAAACGTATATGCTAATGGTGAGCTGTGCCTTGATATTTTACAAAACAGGTGGTCCCCAACATATGATGTTGCGGCTATCTTAACAAGTATTCAAAGCTTGCTCCATGATCCAAATCCCAATTCACCTGCAAACGCCGAAGCCGCAAATTTATACAGGGAGAATCGTAAAGAGTATACAAGAAGAGTAAGAGAGGTAGTTGAAAGTTCTTGGGAGTGATGAAAGAATTATTTAGCCTGCACTGTTTTTATATCTAGTTGAAAAGTTGGACAGATTTTTCTGATTACTGTAGCAATTTAATAATCACGTTGAACATTTATAATCACACATTTTATCCTTTTCTTTTTACATAGTATTTCTTTCAATAAAAAAATAAAAAGATGCATGCATTTTTTGGACATGTTGTCTAGATGCTTGCTTGTAATAAATGTTAAATACAAGGTTTATATATATATCTTGATAATTAAGGATGTGTGGAAATCTTTTTTTTCCTTAAAAAAAGGAAATATAATTGTTTTACACATGTCATTTGGCAATATAACATTATTTATTTTAACATATGCCTTGTTTTTTTCTTCTACATTAATACTTTAATAGAAGTCATTCTTATACGAATCAACGTATTCAAAATTAACATGTGTTAATTTTAAGACTAGAATGACAAATTAATTATACGGATACTGTAAATGTTAGTCCTATAAATTACAAAAAAAAATATATATATATTATAATAACATTTCTAATGTAAAATACATTATTTTGTCAAGAAAGATATTTATGTGCAAAGTCCATTTCAAATAAGACCGGAAGCCTTGAGGTTCATCCTTTGAACAATATCATTTACCGAAGCCACGATAACGCGCATCTGTTTTGTATCCTATTTATTTGAATACATGAAGCTATAATTAATGACTATCATTCATACGCTAACAAAATAGTGAGAGCTTACCGTAGCATGCGTAAAATGAACATAAATATGCTTTTCATCATTGTTATTCCGAGACAAAAATTTGCGTTGAAAGAATTTTGAAACACTTTGAAATTTGTTATCCCCTGTTTAAGAAATTTTGTATATGATTTAGTTAATTACATGACAAGGAAGACATACAATTTGGATATTACAAACCTTGATATTCAGGAAAATAGTCATTAACCTTAACTTTAACATCTTCAAGTTTATGTTTGAGAATATCAATCTTATTAAGAAACAAAATAATGTGGGTGTTTATCATTAATGGGTTATTACAAATTTCCTCAAATAACTGGATAGAATCATCCATGCGATTTATATCAGAATCTTCTAGTGTTTGGTCAAATGCTGATATAGCAGCCATGAAAATGATGGCGTTAACATCATCAAAATAAGGACTGGTTTTATATAGAAATTAGAAGAATCAGACAAATTAAACGATAAATTCTAAATTGAAAGATTTACCAAAATAACTTACGCCCAAAAGTGACGTTGAGAACGATGGCCACCAACATCAAAAATCCTAAATATTCAGGAATTCATTAACGACATTGATTCCAAAACAGATTGAAACTCAAGGTAAAAATCTAGTTCCTTACCTGTATATTACATCAGCTATTTCAAATCTGTGCTCGGCAACACCAACTGTTCGTATGCGAGCTTGAAGAATGTCTTCATCAGTCGGTAAATAGTTATCTTTACCAAACCGTCCTACATTATCCAAAAAGCTTGGTAAAATGAAATATCATAAAATGTTATATTTCATGACGTATATGTGTACGTGCAATTAAGTTACATAAAACCACTTACTATTTTGCAGAATCTTGTAACCCGATTTCACTCGCAGAATTATAACATTGTTTGATAGCAGGGTCATTCCATAAAGCTATAACAGAGTTAATGTTTTCCATGAATAAATCTTGTGAATTATCGTCCAATTGTTGATCCCTGATGGCTGCCTGAACTGTGATAGAATTTCGATTCAACGTATTCTTTATCGTGGACAGGTTGACAATTCTATCTAAATGTTGTTTATTTTCAGGTTTAATAGGATATCCAAGTGCCGTAAGAGCATTTGCCAGAGCCTTAATAGCTGTAAGTACGTTGAGGTGAACTATACGGCGGTACCGTTGACGTTCGTCTGAAAGCCCTTGACCATGAATAATTTTTAGTTGCTTAAGAACGGTCGTTTTTCCACTTTCTGAAGAACCTGTGAAAATCATACATTTTGATTAGAGATAATATCCAAACCAGTTTTTTTTTCTTTTTAGTCTCGCTAACCTAATAATAATAACTTTGCTGTTTTTTGTTTATCCTTTTCTTCCCTTTCGGCTTTTAACTGTTTATCAATGGCGTCACTACGTTTTTTTGCTTGTTTTTCTAAATTTATACGTTTACGTTTTTCTTCTGGAGTTTCATTGACCGGTACGTACGGTCTCAAAGGATCTCCCATATCGTTTATACTGGCAGACTGTGTTGATGCCATTGCTTTATTTTTTAATTTTTTTAATAATTTCAAATATAAAAAAATAATTCCACTAGTTTAAAAAAGATAAGTTCAATTACTTTCGTGATATATTAGAGGTTTATCCATTTAATAATATTCTTCTACATAAATGTCATATTGTTCATATTTTTCATTAGTGGTTTCCAAAAATGACTCATTTTGTTCCCCCAAAAAGTTTATATTGTTATAAGATGTACACACACAATTAGTTCCTTTCCGTTTTAGTTTAACACGAGATGACATATTTTTTGCTAATTAAATCATTGTACACATTATTAAGTTACGTCTAATAGTTCACTCGAAAAATTATCATGCTCTTTATTTTCAAATGTATGTTAACTATTAAACAAAAGTTTCATAACATATATGTATATTATGCAAATGATGGGGAAATGGGTAATAGTATACACGATTTTGATCTCTAATATACTGTAATTTTGCTTAATTTTTCTTTTTTTGTTTTTGAAAAAAAAAAAAAAAAAAAAAAAAAAGAAAAAAAATATATATAAAATGCGAATAATGAAAAAAAGAAAAATGTATCAAAAAAAAAATGTATCAAAAAAAAAAAAAAAAACAAGAGACACTAAAGATAAAATTAATTTATAAGTATATATTATGTAAATAAAGGAGAGTACTAGAACCTGCTAGCCCTAAATAAAAGAATGGCTAAAAATGCAAGCTGAACCAAAGTTCGGGTAATTGGTAAATTGGGCTGCTTTTCTATTCACATTGATTCAATAGTAGAAAAAAAGTTTGCAACACAATGTCAATCTATACAAATGTTTCTAATACAACTGTTGTCATATCTCTTCTTTTTTTATTTCAACCTCGCTATTCTTTTCAGCATCTGCCTTATTTTCACTGCTTTTATTCTGTGTTACAGTCGAAAAAGGTGGCTCATCTCCTCCCCAAAAGATCATAATTTCACCTTCATCAGATAACATAGTGCTTCTAGCATTGGTACTAGTTGAACTCACCACACTTTCTCTCTGTAATTCAGGTGACTTAGGTTCTTTATCATATACCTCATCACTACCGAATAGTCCAAATGACTGTCGCCCTTCTATTTGATCTTGGGATGGAGAAGTGAGATGATGCTGTTGTGATATTTCTTGGATTTGTGGGCGGGTTGATTCTGTTGATGGTCTTTCTATATCAATACTGGGCAGTATATTATTCGATCCAGCATCAGTTCCGGGTTTAGTGGGACTACCCGGTGTAGATGCTATCGAAGGCGTGCTCAAGAAAGATTTTGCTGTTTTTGGAGTGTTAGGACCACTAGTTCCACTGTATGTTGATTGTGAAGAGCTTTTTGAGGAATCTGAACTGTTGCCATTTGACTTAATTAGATTCAATTGAACAATTGCAGGTTTAGCACGTGTTGCCGTTATTACAGTTGTTGTTGGTGTAGTTTTAGTCGCTTGCAAGATTGTACCAACTTCTGAAATCGGGTCGTCATCATCCTCTACAAATTCAATTAACGTTTCAGAAGTAGAATTCTTAGGCAATGGACTACTTAATGGTGTAGTTCCCGCGCTAACTATTGAAGTACGCATTCTACTATGAGCATCTTGGGGTGTAAGCGATGGCGGTATGTATGCAATCGGAATTACATTTTCAGCATACACTGAACTGACCTCTTCACTATTATCTAATTTAATACCTTTACTTTGATATTTTCGTTTGTACAAGTAGTATCCAGCAGCAGCCAAAACCATTAAACCAAGGATACCACAAATCACACCCGGTATTATTTTACTGTTTCCATTATCCACATTGGGACTAGGGGTACTTGTTGTGCTATTACAAAATGCTACTGGGCATTGATTGCATGTCCTTACGGTGAGAACACAACTAGAACCCGACGCACAAGCAGGACATTTTGGAACATCTGAACATACCACACAATCGGAATCAGGAGTAACTTGTAATAAGAACATATTAACGGATTTGAATTAATTGAATTATTCAATGCTGTCTCTATAATGTATAAATAATTACATATTTAAAGAATAAAACTTACTATCTGCCGTTACCAGCGGTACATCTATTAACATGATTGCTATACATCTTATACCAATCAAGACCCATGGTGTTATTTTCGATAAGGAGAATAAATTTAACATATTTTTATGTTGTATAAAATTTCTCATGAAGTAGACGGTAGAAGCTGAGAAAGGAAAAATGAATGTAAAGAGTTTTGTGAATTATGCCTGTAAATTTAAGAAATACCAAAAAAATTAGACAAGAAAATCGTTTGAAAATTGAATGTCAGAAGGTAATGTTTCATACCAATCGTTCTGAAAGGGCTTAAGAAGCCAAGTAAAGAAATGGTAGACGGGAAATACTAAACCACATCGACGAAGTTCGAACAGACAACAAAGGAAGGTCATAATATTATCAACAATTGTTTCACTACCTAATTAGTTCAGACCCAATCATTATGCTACTTTAATAATGTTATGCACCTATCAGCATTAGCGCATCATCTGTTGTAATACTTGATTCCTTACAAAGGAATAGACATCTAGGCATTTCTATAAATAGCCTACAATTCAATATTTCAAAAAATATCTCAAATTTTAGGTATCTCAACAACAAACGCACAAAGGACAAATAGTGAAACTTGCTGAAACGTTACATGAATCACATGAAATACCTTCAACATCACTAATGGCAAACGTAGCTTTACAAAATGCTCATATTAGCGAAGGTTTATTGTTTACCTTTGAAGGATTATAATCTGTTCTCAGATAATATAATAATATTGACAGGTTGAAGTTGTTATTAGACGAAGCTGCATTATACGATAGACAAATTAGATTATGGGGTTTAGAAGCTCAGCAACGGTTTGTGACAAGACGAAGCTTAATTATCTATTTCAGTTACTGCAATTGAATTGAATTTAGTTGAACTTGTATCGATTGTATCCTCTAGAATGCGTGTTTCATCTATTCTAATCAGTGGGATGCGAGGTCTAAGTAATGAGATATGCAAGAATTTGGTTCTCGCAGGGATTGGCACCATTACAATAATTGATCATAATGTAGTCACGGAAGAAGATCTCGGCGCACAATTCTTTGTGACCGAAGGAGACATAGGAAAGAACGTATGCAACCGTTTTAGCATAATTATTTAACGTATGACAAGATTGTGACGCGAATCATCTATTGTTGCATGTAATGCATGATTTTTAAGAAGGCAAATGTTTCAGCGGATCGGATTCGTCAATTAAATCCTCGTGTCGTGGTGATAGCTGATAATAGTGACATACGCACAAAGCCTGATGATTTCTTCAAAGTTTTTGACTTAGTGTGTCTTACAGATTGTGATCCCGATACAGTGGTAGCTACGAATTAAATAAATGTTGAAATATTTCTGTTGCTTTGGTTAACGTTACTATTATTATTTCTGTGTAGATCCGGATTAACGAAATATGCAGAAATTTTGATAAAAAGTTTTATGCTGCTTGTACTTACGGTTTCTATGGCTATATTTTTTGTGATCTTAAACAGCATGAATATATAGTGTATGCTTTCAAATTACTATATAATTAGATATCTATCGTTTCAGCAGTAATTTATAGCTTATGATTTTATCATACTATTTTAAACGTTAAAGAGAACGAAAGATAGCAATGCCACATAAAGATGAGCACGAAATAACCAAGTTAAAAAAGCATGACGAATATGTGAGCTTTCAACATGTTCTATCTAAAACTGATTGGACAGAAATTTCAGATAGAAAACTAAAAAAGATTTCACCTTTATTATGGGCTATTCAAAGTATGTTGTTCTTTACACTTGTCGAAATCATATAATTTATGTCTGATAATTTACATCATGCAGTTTTATGGAAATTCCAACAAGAAGTGGGTCGGCTACCTGTAACAAATGATAATTTAGATGTCGAGAAATTGTTATCTCTGAGAAACCCTTACCTACAAACCATTAATATTAACAATCTACTTGTAACTGATGAATTACTTATGTAAATAATTTGATATGATACAAAAGAATGTTGTGATCCTGTTCAAATAACCATATTTATTTCATTTAGAGCTCTTGCATCATTTGCGCTTACGGAATTAACCCCTATATGTGCAATCCTGGGCGGTGTCTTAGCTCAAGACATTCTGAACGTTCTGTCCAAGAAGGGTGTCCCTATTAACAACTTATTTGTTTTTGACGGATTTCAAGGTGATAAAAACTACTTGATAATGGTCTTTTTTCGTTTTCTGCTAAACCAATAAAAGTTTATTAATTTAATCAATTTAATCATAAAGGTAATGGATATATTTATCACGTTGAGCAAGGTAAACATATTGTTTGATTGAATATCTTGTGTAAAATCATTACACCTTGGAAGCACAAATAAATATGCTCACGATGATGTGATATGAAAATGTAATAAAATCTTAATCGAGCAATAAAAATTCACGTAAATGAAATACTATATAGCTATTAGATGCGAAACAGCCTGTTATTCTTCGTTATTCAAAAATCCCAAACCCCAAATCATTAAAATTCAAACCATTTTTTTAATCCAAATGTTCTGGCTTCGTTGAAGATCATTGCCCCTGCACAGGTTAAGCACTAGTTATAGATAAGTTGACGTCCTGTAAAAGCGACTTTTCAGAAAATGAATTACGATTTTTCGTCTTTATCAAAATATCTTTGTTAGGACTCCACCAGGGCGACCCGTCTTACTGCTCACGTAATGCAGGCGATCAGTTTCTAAACACTTTTACAGCATGATGGACAAAAAATTTTTTTAATCTTTTTATACGCTTTAAAGTACTTTTATTTTCGCGGTTTCTCGAAACCTACTAAATAAATCCACTCTAAAAAGGAAGCGAATAATAAGTCTTCGAATAACCTATAAGCTATTAAAATTAATTCCAAATAATCCCAAATCTTCAAAAAGTTTACTAGTAACAAGTTTTATAGAAAATGAATGATGATTCAGTTTACAATTTGATCAAGAAGTGTACAGTTAAGATTTGCAAGAGTTTCAGCTTTGAAATGGAAAAAAATAACCAAAAATGTGTTGGCTAAGGCAGAAACTAATGGAACTTCGGCCTTCTATTATGAAGGTTATAAAAATAAGTATGTGTTTAAATTGTTATAACATTATTATAGTAAATAAAAGGTGCAAAGATAATAATATTTTTATGTTTGAGAGTATTTTTACTAACTAATATTATTTTTGAAAGAAAAGTTTTAGATAATGATTTTTTTTTACTCTTAAGCAGTCACGCTAGTACTTTATTAAGATTCTTGAAACTATATACAAAAATTACATAGAATTTTCTCAATAACTAAGTTCAGCATCACCCAGCCATCCTATTGGTACCTAAGTGTGACCTGTTGCACTACCCCAATCAGAGGTAGACTGCTTATCTGGTTACTTAAAGCTGTACCAGAAAGGATTTCTTTCTTCTGGGACAAGCATTAACTGTCTTCAATCCTTTCTTTAAATTCTTCTTTCTTCTCAAAAAGTCAAAAAAAGAAAGGTATTATAAAATTGAATACAAATAAGAAAATGACTAAAAAAATCAAAAGTAAACAAACAAAACCCAAATCAAAACAAAACAGTAAAACAAACATGTAATAGTAAGAAAAAGAAAAAACAAAAAAAGGGTTAAAGCCCCAATCAGAACAAATTATAAAAATTATATAGTATTGCTACTTTTAGTCTTTATTTTAGAAATAGGTCTATATTATATATAAATATCATTCGATAATAGAGATATCAGTGTTTAATTTCTTCCTTGTCAGTTTTACAGTTGACCCTTTCATTTCAATTAGAGTTACTCCTAATTTCAGAAAAGAGATAATTCTTCTATTCTCAAAATGAACAATTTCTGTAGATCTTTCATAGAGGATATGCTAAATTTTTACTTCTTGTAAAAACTTCTGTCAAAAATCAAGCAAGAAATATAGTAGTAGTATTCAGTTAGCAGGTATCCTTAAATTTCTAGTAAATGTGTTAAAAACTTGTTTATTGTTCTCCTATAAGGCTTACTATTTTAACTTTATTAACAGAAATTGAGACTTCTACTAAAATTTGTTATACAAGAGCACCTCTTGCCAGTTATCTTGTATATGCATGTTTTTAGTTTGTTTGCTAAATATATAAAAGAGTTCAGTATAAAAGAACCACTTTGATTTTTATAAAAATCATTATTTATATAATAATCTCTTCTACTTTCTCCAATAAGTTTTCTGTTTTTGTTGGTTTGAAATTTGGTACAAGTGATCATCAAGAAGAGTTGTATAATATATATTAATGTAGATAATGATTTACTTATTGTTATTTTTTTAATTTAGGTTAATCATTGAAGATAAAAATAATTAATTAAGTTTTTTCTTTAATGAAATTAAAAAATAACTTATTTGACCAGGGTTTTTAATCAGTTTCTGGTATATTAATGTTATTTAATATATTAAAATCAAAATATTAAGTGAGTTTCTAGAAATTAAACAAATTTTTTTTAAATAAAATTTTTTTTTGATATTAAAATAATCTTTTTGGTCTTTTGATTTTTATTAATGATTTTTTTGATAATGTGATTTTATAAACTATTACAAAAAGAGTATACAATTAGTTATACATATAACTTGTTATATTATCTATTTAAGGAGTTTGCTTAAAGGTTTTTATTAATTATTATATCTAACATTTCTGTTTATATATTTCATTTTAAACTTTTTAAACCTGTATCTGTATTAACATTACTAGGTTATATTTAGATTATTGTTTTAATTTTAGGATTATTTTATCTTCAAAATAAACTTACTGAAATCTTTTTTTTATTATTATTATTATTTTATAAGCAGTCATGCTAATACTTTATTGAGTTTTTGGAATTACATTTGTAACTACATACATATCTCTAATATCTAAGTTTAGCATCACCCAGCCACCTTAACAATACCTAAGTGCAACCTGTCACATTACTTCAAACAGAAGTAAGCTACTTGTCTGACTACTTAAAGTTCATAATGAAAAGGTCTTCTTTTTTTCATGACAAGCCTTAAAATTGTCTTTATTGCTTCTTTTTCAACTTGTTTTCCTTTTTTTCTTATTCCTTCTTTTTTCTTTTCTATTTTTTCTCGGTTTGTCTTCTTTTTTCCTCTTGTTTTCTTTAGAATTTCACTTTTTTTCTTTTAGTTTTCTCTATTACAACTTTTTTCTTCCATTCAATAATTTTCTCACAACATATTCTCTATACTTGTTCGTAAAATGTGTTCCAGGCCATTATTGCTACTGTGTTTGCAAACTGCTATCTTGATCTTGTGTTTAATAACTTTGCTAGTTTGTCTTGTATTTCTTTTGGAATTAGGCCTTTCATTAGTACTTCTTTTATTTTGACTTCCTCTGTCTCTGTTTTTCTGAAGAGTGCTGTATATAAAATATATAGAAGAATTCGAATCTTTTTTTCTTCTTTTAATTTTTTTCATGCTATTGCAATAGTCACTTTTTGGATTTTCTTTTAGAGATTTCTTTGCCCTTTGTATATTGCCAAGTGTGCCTACATCTCTTTTACTTTGTCTTGGCATACTTGGCATTCCACTGTTATATATATATCTGGCCTTTTTTTGTTGAGTTCTTCTAGGGTTGAAAGTTTATCTATTATGCACTTAATAAATGCACTTCTTCTAATACTGCTTCTTCTTGTTGTGCACTGTATTCCTTTAGTCATCTTAAGCCTTTTTCAAAAATAGGTCCAGTCATAAATTGTGATTTCTGCTTCTAGTTCTAGATCTTTAACTGCTTTTATTTCTTTCTACTCTGCTTCTAATCTTGCATTTATTACTAACTTGCAAAGCAATCTTGCTGGTATGTCAGTTCATCTGTTTTCCTATTCTAGGTAGTACTCTATCTCTTTACAACTAACTTTTTCGGCCTGTACTATTTCTCTACTTCTTGTTTCTTTCTTTGCTAAGCTATCTGCTTTATCGTTTCATTTGTCTTTACTATGACTTTTTATTTTAATTAAATCTATCAGAATGTTTTTTATCTTTAATCTTTATTAACCACATTGCATTCTTTTTCTTAATAATCTTGCTTCTGTCTGCTTGTTCTAGGCTTCTACT